TGAGCATCACATCCTTCAAGTAACTGCAGGCAAAGAAGATCCTTTACTCGGACAGATAAGGAGAACAATAATGCTTGGAGACGACTTGAATGGGGTAATGAAGAAAAACTTTTATATAAGTTTTAACATATTTGACAATTTTCTTTATTCCATAGTTATATAGATGAAATCTTGAGTTGAGTTTAAAATACAGCAATGAATTAAAAACAACAGACATGTATTTAACTAATGAACAGCATAACAAAAGACTGCTTTGATGATAAAAACAATTACAAACAGAAGAATATATAATGCACACCACCAAGTTTTTCATTCCCATCATGTGTATCAAGCAAACACACTTTAAATGTTATCATACAAAAGGTGAAAATTCTCACATGTTCTGTTATGTCCAAATTTTTCAAGAGAAACAAAATATTTTGTTTTCTATACAAACTTCAAAATTCACTATTATATAAAATACACAGACTTTTTAACTTAAATCATCAATTATATAGTAAAACAAAGACCTCAGTTAAAATTATGCCAATAGCTGTACTACTACTACTTTCAAGTAAGTTCATCTATCAAACTTATTTCTTATAGAAATAAAACAAAGCTGGTGATCAATGAAATCACCCTTGTTCCCAGCAAAGTTAAAGTCTATTATGAGTATCAATTAATAAACATTACATGAAAATACTTTTAGAACTGTGTCTTTATATGTATGGTTTAACAACATACAGGTAACTTTAAAATTATCACGTTCACTGCTATTCTGGTGGTAAGTAAATCACTACATGAAGTATAACACATTAACCAGTCCTAGGAATTTAATAAGTTGTAAAACTGGTAAGAAATCTGACAAACCGTGACCTGCTGCATTTAAAGATTTTTAAATATTTGTTTTTAGGTTATGTAAAGGTTTTCTTACAAAATATTCCTAAAAAAAACGAATATTTTTTTCTTAAAACAAGTTTTTATATTCCAACAGATTTCAATCACAATATAAGCTCAACAGTTAACCACAAATAATTTAATGGAAATTGAATTGAGGGTTCTTCCTAGAAACCAGCCTGGTAATTTACAAAACTTATTTTCGTATTTAATTCAGTGTAAATGTAGTGTAATAGTATTTTAAATTTTTACTATTTTTACATAACTTTTCAATTCTGAAGTTATCATATGTTTACCTAAACATTTTTATACATTGAAGTATCCAACTCCAAACCCACTATCTTCCAAAATCAGCTCATACTAGTGACTTGAACATTTAAAAATTCCAACGTTTAAAAAAAATAAATGATTTTCTCTTCTTCTTCTTCACTTTGACTTTAAAATGTCAAGGTAAAATCTGTCCTCTTTCTCTAGTTTCATCCTAATACTGACATTTACCCTCTTGGTTTAGTTATATCAAGACAGTGAGACTAGATCTACCTTTTAAATTTATCCAACTGGTGAAACTAACTCTACCTTTGTTTTAGTTTTATCCAACTGGTGAGACCAACTCTACCTTTGTTTTAGTTTTACCCAACTGGTGAAATTAACTCTACCTTTGTTTTAGTTTTACCCAACTGGTGAAACTAACTCTACCTTTGTTTTAGTTTTATCCAACTGGTGAAACTAACTCTACCTTTGTTTTAGTTTTATCCAACTGGTGAAACTAACTCTACCTTTGTTTTAGTTTTATCCAACTGGTGAAACTAACTCTACCTTTGTTTTAGTTTTACCCAACTGGTGAAACTAACTCTACTTTGTTTTAGTTTTATCCAACTGGTGAAACTAACTCTACCTTTGTTTTAGTTTTATCCAACTGGTGAGACTAACTCTACCTTTGTTTTAGTTTTATCAAACTGGTGAAACTAACTCTACCTTTGTTTTAGTTTTATCCAACTGGTGAAACTAACTCTAACTTTGTTTTATTTTTATCCAACTGGTGAAATTAACTCTACCTTTGTTTTAGTTTTATCGAACTGGTGAAACTAACTCTACCTTTGTTTCAGTTTTATCCAGCTGGTGAGACTAACTCTACCTTTTTTTAAAATTACATCAGCTGGTGAGACTTACTCTACCTTTTTTAAAATTACATCCAGCTGGTGAGACTTACTTTACCTTTTTTTTAAATTACATCCAGCTGGTGAGACTTACTCTAACTTCTAGTTTTGTACTATTACTGACAATGTAAATATACAATCTTCCTCTAGTTTTATATTGTTATTGATAAAGTCAAATTTACTCCTGTGAGTATAACCTGCTCCTTAAAACTGTTGTGTAGGTTGCTTTATGTGTCAACTGTAAATCTTAAAATGAAAGCTAATTGCAATTATCATCTTAGTCATAAAACATTAGAAAAAAACACACTTTTCTTTATGTATGTTTTTAATAGCTTTCATCTGTCAAATATTTATTTTAATTTCTGTAGTTGTTTACAAATCATCTTGTCGGTAGTGTGGACAACATACGGATAAGTGAGAAGCAAAGTAGAACGAATAGCTAATGTCCATTAGAAATATGTTTACATAGATTACCTAACCTATACATACATGTGTAGCATGAATATTTTTAGGTCACAAATCTAGCCACTGTCCAATTAGAAATATGCTCATGTAGATAAATATATATATAATTTCTTGTTTATTTCTGTAGCTCCAATAAACCTTTTCTTTCATAGTGATAAGTAAATAATTTAAATTGTCTGATGATGTAGAGAACATAAGCTGGAAAAGAAATCTCTCTTTATATATATACTGAAGTATTCAGGTAGATATCATTTAGTGATATGTTTGTGTATGACTGAAAGCTTAAGTGTACGTTGTACATGAACTATATAAGCCTCAAAGTACACTCGAATTACACAATCGAAAAAGAAAATATATGTATAAACAGTATTTGGTTGAGGTTAATGATTTCCTAAATCTTTCTATTAAGGATATCAAAACTTGGAGGTGTTCGTGTTCCTTCACCTTAGGAAGCAATTATTTTAGACTTGCATTAAATAAAGAATATGTCCCATATATAAATTTAGATTGAATTGTTTGTCAAATAATGATGCATATGGAGAGGTTCACAAGCTTTAATCAAATCCCTGTTTGAGCATTAAATTGACAATGTTTTTAATAAAAGTCTTGTCTCTTATTTTCTGTATAATTACTCAGTCCTGATTGCAAAGCATTAGTTCAAAGATGTATAACTTATTGATTGGGGTAATATTTCTATATATTCTGTAAAGAAATGGAATATTGTTTTTATGCATCACTCATGATTTTTTACCATGTTTTTCCCAATTACATGAAATTTAAAACTAAATATTCATAATTTATAAAAGGAAACAGGATTAGAATTTATTTAGGTTTGCCTAAGTCTACTTCTTTGTTTTTATCATAAACTGTAATGGGCTTGTTGAAGACTTTTTCAATTGAGATTATGAACTAATGCATGAAAGTGAGTTGGTGTTATTTGTAGGTCACATATATTAATATTTTTTTACTCTTAAAGACTTGCTGGTACAACGTGCCACATGACAAAGTACATAATTAATGAGACAGTATTATTTATATCCATTCCTGAACACAGTATGAAGTAATAGTGTATGGTCAAACATATTGTACATTATGTTGAAAAAAGAGAAATAAAAGTAAGCTTAATCATTCCTTCTACTTTGATTGATTTACTAACATTAAACGTACAATCAGATCACCACTAAACTGATCCTTCTTATTAAACATGTCTATAGAAGTTTCTCTACTTCACCAATACAATGTTTTAAACAGATTATGACCTAGCTACAATTTGATGAAATTAAGCTCTGTCATCAGACCTATCACTTGGGGCTGATAAGCTTAAAATATACACTGTCTAAAACAAAACATTATCTCTTGTACATGATAGCAAAGGGAAGAACCTGTTGAACAAGAGGAGACTGGTATGTAGCAAACATTCACCTTTTGTTTACGACAATTAACTAGGAATGGCAGTAAATGTTGTATACAGTGAATGCCGAATCTTAAGAAATTCAAAGCTTCCTCACCTTCCATTCCAATAATGCTTTAAACAAACAGTATAGTATCCAGAGCTACATCTACAGGTTAGTTAATAGATTACATTTAGAGACAAAAGTTAATAATAGACTACACCTTGGAGATGGCAAACTAATAAATAAATTTGTTTTCAAGAACTGGTAGTTTTGAAAAATAAAAACTATGAAAGTTGACAATATACGTACATAGTGTAGAAATTAACATGTTTTATTCATAGAAAAGCCAGCTGAAATTACTACAAAAACTATTTCAATTTTCAGTATTTTAATGTAATAATACTCAATAATTATGTCTCTCTATAGTTCATGTTGAGACCTTCTTCATGTGAGGAAGAGTCACAACACATGACAAAATAAGAAACAGATTACACAGGGAAATATTTTTGAAAATGACTAAGCAGTGTTATTAAAAACTAACCATGTAGTTCAGTAGAGAAACACCACCTGCTAGTTTATAATGTTTAGATAGATTAATTTACAGTAGTGAAATGTGGCTTAATGGTGTATATTTCCAGGAAACAGAAGGGTTTATCAATATGGCCTCTGATAATGTATAAGGTTAAGTACATGGTGACATAAACTGAGTTATTGAAGTACATCCATTGTGTTAGGAAGTGGGAAGCTGAGGCAAGTGTGGACAGAGGTATGAATATTTTGTAAAAACTACTTATTTTACAAACACAGGATCCATCTGAATTATTTCTGTCAACTCTGTGTTGAGAGTTTAATTGTAAATGAAGTGGTGTAAAACTTATTTTTGAAACTCAAGATCCATCTGAATTATTTCTGTCGACTCTGTGTTGAGAGTTTAATTGTAAATGAAGTGGTGTAAAACTTATTTTTTAAATTCAGGATCCATCTGAATTGTTCCATCAATTTTGTTAATGAATATACTTTACAAACCAGTGACTCATCATAGTCATAGAGTGAAAACAGTCACACAGAGAAAACAAACGTAGTCATACAGTGAAAACACACATATACATATATCTAACTCACATTGATATTTTATTGACAATTGTCAACATACAAGTACATTAGGTGTTCATTCCTCACACTCTGTAGAAGGACCAAGTCTAGTTGACTGTTTCTTATCTTTGAATTATGAATATACACACCCAAATACAGTTCACCATTCCCCTAGGTTTATCAATACATTCAATCCAGCTGTTTTTTCAGTCCCCTTTCCATTTTCTTGAACTAAATTCAAATCCAATTGTTATTTCAGCCTCTGATCTCCATATGTATTAAAGCATCGTACTTTTTTTTGGTGGTCTTTCATTCTTCTTTATTGATGTTCAGTTAAACTGTTACTCACTTTAACTTGCATAACTTCCAAGTATGTTAAATCCTTCTATCATTTTGGCTTTGGTGGTTTAAAATCCATATTTTGACTGGGTCTGACGTCGAGTCATCCTGTTTTCAGCCCACTGATTTTTAAGTTCCAATTCTCGTTCCTTGGCCTGAAAATGATCACCATAAAATATAAGATCTTCATAGAATTAATTTACATTTTGATGTTAACTGATTAAAAACAACATTTTAAGTGACAACAGAAGGAGCACCACTGTCAAGTAACAATACTATTTCATTGAAGTACATTTTGTGAAAAGTTAAAACAGAAGTAAATGTTATAATGACTCTTTCTTTGTTTCTACATTTGTTGCATGTCTCACCAGTTATTGTCTCTTAATTCAGCATTTTCATACATCAAACTTGTAGCTTGAGGAAATAATGTCAACACTTGTGTCTCAAACCTTAAGCTTGTTTGTTTACTTTAAGCTACCTATCTTGTTTGAAGATCCCTATTCCCACTTTTCAAAATTAACAATTTTAATAATCATGTTTCTTTATTTTTTTTTATGTCCGTGATGGACATAAACCTGTATGATAATAAAATGTCCTATTTGAAATATGTAGTTGATGTATGATGCTCTGTTGGGAAACAATGACAACCTTTGGATTGGCTTCATGCAGATTGGATGGCTATTGATCCTGATATCATTGATAGTGATACTGTATGTATGATCATTATGATACATGTTTATCAACATACCACATGTTATGTATATGTTTGTAAAATATATACAGTTAGTATATTTATATCCTGTAGCTATATGGGGAGCCTGTAAACACTGGATTAGAGGTACTACTGAACTGTACTGAAATGGTACATGGACTGGATTCTGTAACCACACAAGTTTTATACATACAATATATATACACACACACATGCAGGCTTTATATTTGTTTATGTTGTATAGGTGCACGTACATATCGTCAATGCACATATAAAACAGTGTGTCATAATATAATAGGATACGTATACAAATAAGCATTTTTAATATTTCCTCCTTCCTCTGGCCATAGTAAGGCCAGTTACAGTTTTGGTGCAGTTTGCCATGAGTTGATTATATAAATATACCTATCTGATGGAGTTTGGGTCATGACATTTTTATGAAACCTCTTCCACTGTGACATCCCTAGACTCTGGTGGGCTGTTACTTTATCTGAGACTAAATATTTTATAAATAAATTCTAAACCTCCAAAATTTCTACCTCATTTTTTACCATCTCCTGCTTGCCATTCCTTATAGTCAGCTTCAAAGATGGCTACTCTATCTGCAGTATCTATAAAAATTGCAATCAAGCATTGTTGGCTATAATTTGACATTTACCATCAGCCATCACCGTGATTGCCGATCCAATGCTTGAAACTGAGCTTGGTGCTATTTTTTAAACTGTGACTTAAAGATTTATGTTGTGAGAGACAACCTAGACGTTTGTGTAACATGGCCAAAATCAATAATGCAGTGGTTAAAAAAAACTGTGATTCTGTCAGCAACATCATCTCCGAAAGGGCAGGATCCCTATACATAAACAAATGATACGTGACATCAATACAGTTGCAACATTAAGTTAGTAAATGCTATGATTCATGTCGAATATAAACATTAAATTACATCCACAGCCTACATGCAGCTATATACTTGTGTATGTAGTAGATTATGAGGCTCCATATAAACCACAGACTACATTAAAACAATTGGGTGTAAAGAGTTATACAGGTGCTGTTATTTGCTAGGTAGTCAAATAAACTTAAAACTACTATAAACAATACACAATGATGTGTTTAGTAATATTGCTCAGGTTTTATTACAATGACCACAACCATTTTTGTTGTAGGCTGGCAGAACAATATTAAAGAATAATAAATAAGGACTAACTAATGTAATTCATGATGATGTAGGAAATTATTTCTAGTTCTGTTGTTGTTGTGTACATCTTCATTTTAGAGACTTATTAAAATATTTAGTTCATCAGAAAAACTATTAATGATTAATTTAAATCATTAAAGCCTTTTAAGTATAATATTCTGAAACATAATTGTATATTTTGGAACTGACCACACTAACATACCTGGAAAGCAAGATAAGTTATCTGATGCTTCCTCCGCTGTTGCTGGCTAGGTAGATCATGTTTACGCCGTGAAAGTTGATGAACCTTCTCCTCAGTGATTGATTTTGTTAACCATTCATTTGGATTTGGCAACTGCTGGTCAGCACTGACATCAATAAACTGAATTTCTTCTTTGTGATGCTTTTTCTTATCCTGTAGTCTTAAGAACTAGTATTGATTGAAGACAAACACAAGAGTTAACGTGTGTCACATGTGCAACATTACCAAAATGCACAAGTATTGTTGAAAATATATTTTACCTATTAAATAATTTCTAGAACTCATACTTGTTTCATTGTTCTGAAATACTGTATTTACTGAATAATCTCAATAATCTAAAGTAAACCTACAGACATCAGTCTTATTCAACAAAATCTGTATACCCTAAAACAAAGTTTTACATGTCATTCTAATCTGTAATGTTTATGACTCAAGCTTTCGTGGTTTTTAAGGCTATAAATAGAATTTAGCATGTCAAAGTTAACGAATTGATGCCGTAGGAACACTGCAGCAAGACAGCTCATAACTTGTGTGTGAATTGGCAAGGAACACATAGCTAGACATCTCAAGTATGAAAGTGTTAGATATATATTTTTCTCTCTTCCTGGGATTAATGTCCACCAACGAGCAAGTACTGAGAGCAACCTTTGATGATACCTACCAGAATGGAGGGCAAGAATTTAGAAAATGATTGGTTGAAATATGAAATTTTTTATAGAGAAAGTAGTGCTAAATTTATTCCAACAAATATTTTGCAGTGAGTCAAACTTTTAACCCTATGTAAACAAGACAATTATAATATTAAAAGTAGTTTTAAATACAATATTATAATTATTGGTCACCAACTTTATGCTAGAAATTATAACAAGAAATATGAAATTATTCTTGAATTTCTTCTGCCGAACTTGTGGAAACTGCATAAAACTGGTCTCAATAAAACGTACCATGACATGCCTACCGCTAAGGCGCTAACCACAGTACAGCAGTTTTTACAGCTTCCCTACATCATACACAGTTTGATTTGAGAATACCAGTTAAGATAAATGTATGCTTGTAGTAATAATTCCTTGTAAGTACCACTAGAACAGAAATGAAGCTTTGTGAACAGTATTTTAATTTCAATTTTCAAAATTCAACACCTTTTCTGCTTTCAAGCAACAGTATACTGTATAATAAAGTTAGTTTATCTAAATTAGGGTTTTCCAAAGTGGTCGATAAGACTGTACAGGGGGTGAATAAAGACATAAAAGTCGAAAAAGGCTCCTAGGGTAAGGTTGGCGTATGCAACTAACTGCCCTACACTTAGTAGCAACAGCGAGCGAATGATGTGCATTCCTTTTCTCGAGTCTTCCACAGTGTATAAATTCACACAGCAATGAAAAATACATATTTTAAAAATAAATTTTAATTTAATTACTTATTTTGTTTTATGCTTCTTAAGAAATATTAATATGGGGGTTGATGACAACTCTGTAAGTTTGTCAAGGGGTCAACAACTCAAAAAGGTTGAGGAAACCCTGATCTAGATATTTGTTTTACAAAATATTTAGCTTTGAAACTTAGCAAATCTAATGAATATTTTTAAGTAAAAATTTTAGTGAATAATGTTTCTACATTTGGATTACCATTTCATCATTGAGGAAACTCTGTTCAGCAGTTGGAGTCATTCTCTCTGTGTTGCTATAATAATCATGCTGGTAATCATGATGATGTGTCCATTCATGAGTCTTGTAAGCTGAATTCCAGCTATGGCTAAAACTCAGAGGGGCATCCATACTGCTGGTTGTTTGAGTTTGATTTATAACATCTAATACATCACTGCTAGTGTTCTTATATTTATTTTCTTCCTTACTGTTTATCTGTGATGAAGCTTCTCCATACGTTGAGGAGGATGGCTGGAACTCGTTGGTACTTATCTCTGGAACTTTAGAAGTTGTTTCCAAAGAGAAGAAATCAACTGGTACGTTACTACCCTCTTTATCACTATATTTCTCATCATCATATTCAACAAGTCCTTCAGTAAAAGATGACACTGGTTTTTGAACATCAGGAGCTGACAAACACTTTTCACTTCCATCAGGCTTTTTGGTTAGAACGTGAGGCACCAGCTTACGACCTGCTTCTTTCAAGGATATGTTTCGAGGGGCAGGTAACATATCAATCAACCCAGATTTTGACTAAAAATAACAGGGAATGAAGTATAACAACAAGAATATGTACTTAGTGACACAAATGTTGAAAAATTAATTCACAATTTCAAAACAGATTGAGCTATCAGAAAAAATTGACAGTTTTCCTACTTAGGTGTAAGATTCATAATACATAATGTTTAAGTAGTCCTCATCTACCAAATTCTAAACTAATTCATTCCTTTACTATAAGTTGGTATAATTAACCAGCATGCTTCACATACTACTTAATGGGAAGTTGAAACTGAAAAAGCTCGGCAAAGGTTCTGGTTAAATATTAAATGTGTCATTTATTTATCTGAAATATCTGTTACAAATCACGCATATATATATATTGATAGCAAAATACTAATATTTTTCTGTTTCTCTATATTTATGATGAAGAGAAACAGTCAGCATACAGAGAAAATTCTCTATTTTTTCAGTGTTTCTCTCTGCTCTTTCTCTTTTTTAAATGTATTCACACCACAGTGTCTACTATGCTACCTGAATTGACTTGAAAGGTCTGTGAAATATTTAAGATTTGTGTTATCTAAGACTGACCTCACTAACCTTCATAAAACCTTGTTACAATAAAAATCTTTACAACTCAGTTTCAATATTAACTAAAGTAGTCAACCAATATTACTATATTTTTTTGAACAGTAAAGTCATAATTATTTTGCTAAAACTGTTAAAATACAAAATATTACTTACAGAAGAACGTTTAACCTTCTTTACAAAATATTACTTACATTAGAATGTTTAACCTTCTTTACAAAATATTACTTACAGAAGAATGTTTAACCTTCTTTACAAAATATTACTTACATTAGAATGTTTAACCTTCTTTACAAAATATTACTTACAGAAGAACGTTTAACCTTCTTTACAAAATATTACTTACAGAAGAATGTTTAACCTTCTTTACAAAATATTACTTACAGAAGAACGTTTAACCTTCTTTACAAAATATTACTTACAGAAAAATGTTTAAACTTCTTTTTTGTAGGCTCTTCCTCATCATCTTTCCACTACAAAGAATGTAAACAAGTATGGAATTAAACAATTCAATACCCGAAAACAAACAATGTCTTTAACAAATAATTAGACAAGTATAATGCCAATATATATCCAACTATGCTTTGGACTGGTAAGGTTTCTTGATTGTAAACTTTTCAAAACACAAATTGAGCAGTGTAGTGATGTCAGTTCACAGAGAAAGAAAAGGTTTTCTAAGTGGCTGTTAAATTACTTCCTTTTTTACTTTCAAAAAATAAATCTGAGCATGCTGAGTTTGGAAACATAATTTTGCTATTTCGCCATGAAAAAATAAATAAAATACATGAGTATACAAAAATAAAACAGTCAACCTAATATTAAACCACCCGCTCCATCAGTAAGTTGGAGGAGAACTGAGGGTTTCTTAAAGTTTTTACTTGTGTGTGTGAAAGGATAGCTTGAAGCCCCAAGTAATCCCATGTTGTCCTTATGTTTACTATGTTGAATGTATCCAGTGGTTGCACTAGTCTTAAAAAATTTTTAAATGTGCTTTTGGAAATACAATACCTACTTTTTTATGAGATAACATTATTTTTGATTATCTAAGCTAACATACAGTGCCTACTGCCCAACACAAAACACATATATGGTGATATATAAAATCATGGAGGTCTCTAACACACATGCCTAGTGATATGTGGAATATTGATGAACTTTCAAAAACAATGAAAAATTTATTAATTTATCATTTACCTGTTACAATAATACTGTGTACACTTTTCCAGATGTGTTGTTACAGTCGATTCAGTATTGTTTTACATGTTCATAAGTGTGTTTACAATGATGGAGTATTAAATATTGCATCCATAACTACAGAGCTACTCAAATTCATTGTAATCAAATATGGGAAACAGATATTTATAAATCATTTTATTTATTGGGCTAATAAATTCTCAGCTAAACATACAAATTAGAATAAAATCAAATTATTTGGTAAATTAAAACTCATTTTTGATAATTATAATTTCCTCATACAAAGTTGGAAAATCACTAGGTAATGAACAAGAAGGAAAAAAACAATAAATTTTGTTTATGGCAGAGCTACTAAGGCTATTTTTCACCATTACTAATACTGAACTGACAATTAAAGGAAAGCCTACTGTTTGGCAACACCAACTGCTAGCTCTTGGGCTATTCTTCAACAATGAATAGTGGGATGCACTGTTGTATCAAAAGTACCCTCATGGTTGAAAGGGTGAGTATGTTTGACAACAGGTTTGATCATATGACCAGCAGATTATAAGTCGAGCATCCTAACCACTAGGTGGAATATCTGATAATATAATATTACACTAGGGCTACGCTATTACACAGCCCACTACAGCACAGAACTTGTTATAACACAGGTCTGTCAACGTGTGGATTTCACAGAAGTTTTGTTTCACTGTTAAGTAAAATCAAAATCCCACATTATACTTGTTTTTCGATAGGTTTGTGATGGAGGGTGTACATTTCAAAGAGTTTCCACACTTTCATCTAACATAATAATTTGGAACCCAATACAGTGATAAACAGCAAAGCTTCACTTACTTCTTTCAATGATGGAAATGATATTTTCACTGGCTGTTTGGCTGCTTTTGTACCTATCTTTATCCTTCTTTCCGTGTTACTGGTGTTGTCCATGTCATAAAAATCCTTTTTAACAACTGGATTTTCACTGAAAGAATTTACTGGTGGTGGCAAAAAAGCAAACATATTTGATTTCACAGAGCTGTCAAAATTTGAAACATCTGTACTACTAGTACTAGAACTTGTTTCATCTAATTTATTTTTAGTTTTACTGACAATGATATTAGGTGAACAATCCTGAGGAAAACTCGTTTTTATTTTCGGGGGAGGCAGTGAGTCTAGCAATGGTGATAAACCTGAATTTTTCTTGTTAGCTGTCTTTACAGCACTATCGGAAAAATCACCTTCACCTGCGAAACCATCAAAAGAACTCTGCGTTGAAACCTCTGGTCTAAGCCTAACTTCTTCTGTAGGCTCGTCAAAATTTAAACTTTCATTTTCTTCAGAATCACTTTCGTCACTTGTCCCATAAGCTACTAGTGACATGATGTACTTATTTTTTGTTACTCGTTTAAAAATGACGTCGAACTTAAAATAAGTGGTCAAAAACACTAAATAATATTTTCATTTTCAAAATAGACTAACCTACTTTCCTTATTTAGCCTAAACATAGCGCCATCTTGATTCTCATTTGTGCTACATTGTAAATACTAAAATTGGCGGTTTAATAAGAAATATTTATGTAAGGAACCGTTTTATAAGATTCAATTGATCGATTATTGCTTCAATCCCCTGTTATCAAATGAACCTCTCCGATATAACTCATACTATTAAGAAGTAATGGTAAATCTTTTAATAACTGAGTTTTTATAAACTGGAATAATGAGACTAGACACAAACTGAAATGTACAATCTTTATTAAAATATGACAGACTGTCACTTTGAAAGGATGCTTTCGTTGATCTCTCTCTTCTCTCTCTACAAAATATTTTCCACACGTTAAATTGAACATTCCTCAGTTCACAAGAAACTTCGCCTTTACCCATAGCGACTAGCGTCAACCAACTGACTCGTCATTTTCGTTTCTTCTTTCCGTACACAACAACTATTATCTCCGAGGGGAACAAATGCATCCAGAACAAAATGAACTGAATGGCTTTCTCGACTACCGACGAAACGTCTACTAATTCGTGTCGCTAATCTTCTTATAACGCAGGTAAAATTGAGTTGTAGAAGTTTTTAGCCCCAGTATTTAATCTACTTGTAACTAGTATATTGAAGATCTTTACTATGTGAAACACAAGAGTGGGGAAAACGAATATTTAAGAATGTACGTTTAATTAAGCATATATGTTAACAAAGTAATAAACAGCTAGATAACAAAATCCGGACACCCCCTCCTTTTTGTGATAAACGTGAGTTATTTTCATCAACCCTTGTTATCTCTTCTTAAAATATGACGTTTCCATATTAATTGTAATTATGTTATTTAAGATACATTTTATCGCTGCTATTAGAATGGTTAATAAATTAAGTAGGCCTAGAACTAAGTGTCTCTCTTTTTTTTTCCTTTGCTTTGAATAGAATATGTGCTAGAATATAATATGAAATCTAGTTGGGCTCAAAGAAACAGAACAATTAATAAGTGTTCATTAGGATAATCGTCTACCCCCCCCCCCCAAAAAAAAAGAAATTGTTTTAAGATATTTTTCCTGAAAATTTTGAGTCGTATTTTTTTCTTTTTAACACTGAAGTTTTGAATAATATCTGTTACTTCACATATATGTACACGTATATTTGTATTATTAGACTAGCATTTACCTATTTCACAAGGTTACTTGTTGCACCTACATAAACTGCATGACCTCCTGAAGTTCCATTATTCGCTCTCCTTTACAACTCGCCACTCCATCCCCCAAGAAAAACACGCTCCACTTTTATGGACTGTAGATGCGTTGCAAGAGCGAGAGTAAAGTTTTACTAATTAGTTAGAGTAGCCTACGAGTTGATTGTGAGAGGGGATGATTAGCTGCCTTCCCTTTAGGAACGGCTAGCGCAGATTCCCTTGGTTCGCTGTGCGAGGAAATAAATAGATATCATTAATAAAGCTGCGTAAATCGTAAAAGACTAGGGATCTTTCTTTAAGTATCACTATGTGACATTCTAAAACAGTATTAAAGGTGAATGTATGTAATGATGAGGCATGACTGCTGCCAACTTTCAGAATAATGAAAAATAGTCTGTCAGAAGTTTATATATATATATATATATATATATATATATAC